GAATCCAGAAATTGACCCAAGCTATTATGTTCAATTAATATTTGACAAAGGAGGCAAGAACATACAATGGAGTAAAGACAGTCTTTTCAATAAATGGTGTTGGGATAAATGGACAAGTACATGCAAAAAAATGAAACTAGACCATCAACTTACACAAGAACAAACTCAAAATGGATAAAAGTCTTAAGTGTAAGATGTGAAACCATAAAAATCCTAGAAGAAAACATAGGCCACAAAATATCAGACATCTCACATAGCAGAATTTTCACTCATACAATGCCTAGAGCAAGAGAAACAAAGGAAAAAATAAACAAATGGGATTACATCAAGATAAAAAGCTTCTGCACAGCCAAAGAAACCAGCATCAAATTGCAAAGGGAAACCATTGTATGGAAGAACATATTTGTCAATGATACATCTGATAAGGGGTTAATTTCCAAAATATATAAAGAACTCATACCACTCAACAAAAGACAAACAATTCAGTTAAAAAATGAGCAAAGGACCAGAATAGACACCTCTCCAAAGAGGACATACAGGTGACAAAGAGACATATGAAAAAATGGTCAACATTGCTAATCATCGGAAAGATGCAAATTAAAACCACAATTAGGTATCACTTCACACCTGTAAGAATGGCTGCCATCAACAAATCAACAAACAAATGCTGGTGAAGATGTGGAGAAAAGGGAACCCTAGTACACTGCTGGCGGGAATTCAGACTGGCGTATCCACTTTGGAAAACAGTATGGAGGTTCCTCAAAAAATTAAAAACTGACCTGCCATTTGACCCAGTGATATCACTTCTAGGATATATCTTAACAAAGCCAAAACACTAATCAGAATTTCTGCACCCCTGTGTTCATAGCAATACAATTTACAATCGCTAAGATCTGGAAACAGCCCAAGTGCCCATCAGTAGATAAATGGATAAAATGCTGTCGTGCATTTATACCATGGAATACTATGCAGATGTAAAAAAGAAGGATCTCTCACGGTTTGAGACAGCATGGAGGGACCTGGAGAGTATTATGCTAAGTGAAATAAGCCAGTCAGAGAAAGACAAATATCACATGATCTCACTCATATGTGTAATCTAATGAACAGAATAAACTGACCATCAAAATAGATCCAGAAACATAGAAGCGTGAAACAGACGAATCTCAGACGGAAGGCAGGGGGTGGGTGTGGGTGGGGAGAGATTAACCAAAGATTTTATATGCATATATGCATAACCCATGGACACAGATAATAGTGTGGTGAAGTCTTGGGAGAGGAGTGGGTGGGGGGTAGAGGGGATCAATGGGGAAAAAGGGGGACATTTGTAATACTTTGAACAATAAAGATAAATGAAAAGAAAAAGACATTTTTTTGGTTTATCTTATGGTATCTCTTGGTCTGAATAAACATTTAAGGTCATGACCTCTTAGAAAGTGGTCATCTGTGAGAAAGACTAAAAATCAGGCCTCAAGGGGAGATGATACAAAAATGGAAAGAAATCATAGTGCTGCATCATTAGGGGTGAATATTTTTAGGGAGAGACTCATTAGTAATTTTACTGACTAGCTCATCTTAGCAAATTGTTCAAGAATCCAAAGAAATGGAGGGAAATCAATCAAGCTTGGTTGATTAAGGCCAATTGATCGACCTCCAATTTTATTTCAAAGCCATTATAACAGAATATTGTTTAAAATGTAAGAGCACCTACAATCTTACCATGCATTTTAACGTTTTAAATTCAACCAACATCTGCTGTGTACCTATCAGTAGGAGCATTTGCAGTGCTGTGGGGAAACTGTTTTTCTCCTGGGGCTTACAGTCTGCTCTCAGGGGAAGCATGGGAAGATATACTGGGTAGGGTGAAAGAAGTGCTATGAAATAGGCAGTTCCAGAATGGTGGGAAGAACCATTCTTTTTAAATGGAAGGATCTAGGAAGGTTTTTAAGTAAAAGGTGACATTCAAACCAAGCCTTAAAGGTGGAGTAGAATTTGAGGCAAAGAATTATTCAGTAGGTAAGTGTTTTAAGGCCATAAAGGTCAAAGTTTGTGAAAGTATGTAGGAAGCAGCAAGCAGTGCCCAGCACTTGAAGCAAAGGACTCCTGATTTGGTGTTGGAAAGTCAAAGATGGAATAGGCAGCTTGGAAACAAGTCTTAAAGGGACTTTGAATGTTGTGGAGTTGGACTTTATTCGGTTGACAGGAGGAAGCTATTGGACATTTGAGGGAGGGGAGGAACTTCATCTGATCCATTCTGGAAGGTACCTTTACTAGCAAAGAGTTAAGGAGGTGAGAGATTCTAGGTGAGGAAACCAGTTATAAAAACTAGGAATTTCAAGTTATTGAGAATAATGGATGTCAGATATTGATATATTAATTATGATTATTATATTTATTATAATTAATATTATTATTAGATAGTAATGGTATAAGTGCTTTATAGAATTTTTAATTTAACTTTTACAACTACCCTGGAATGTAAGTAATATAATCTTTATTTGAGAGATGAAAGCATTGGAGGGTTACAAAAATTAATTGTTCAGGTTATATTGGTTATAGGTAGTAGAGTGGGGCTGGAAATGATGGAAAAAGTGGAGTGATAGAAAAAATATTTGAATTCAGAGTGACTGAATGTGGGAGGTAAAAGAGAGAGAGGGAGAAACTGAAGTTGGCTCTTACTTGGGTACCCTTAGTGAAGGTCGGAAGCACAGTCAAATAAGTTTGTGAATAAAAGTAAGGAATTCTGCTTTGAAAGGTTGGATTTCAGATGGTGGCAGGACAAGCCAGTGGGAAGTGTGGAGCTGGTTATTGGGAGTGGAGTGTGGAGGTGAAGTAGTCTGGGAGTAATCTGAACATTAGTGAGAGGGGGCACCTTGGGAGAGGATACAGACTAAGAGAGGCTGAAGAGAGAGCTCCATCCATCTGAGACGGAGAGGGGCGCTGGGGAAGGAAGAATCGAAAAGATCTGGGAGAACCATGTAGTGAAGGAGCCCCTGGAGTTGAGAGAACTTCAGAAATAATGGGTGGTAAATATAGGGTGTCTCCCCAAAATGTATACACACACTTTGAATAATTATAAAGGCAGTGTTTATTAAAATACATTTTATTTTCAAAATTGAGCTATCAACTGTTAAAGCGTATATACATTTTGGGGTGGGGGGGGACACCCTGTAGGTCATTTACTGCACACCAAAGAGGGAGGAATGTGGGATTTTTGCTTTATTTGGCAAGTAGAAGACAATGGGTAGTTTTTGAAAAAACAAACAAAACCGAAAATAATTTTAGTGAAGTGGAATGATCAGAACTTAATGTCAGGGGCTGAGGAGTGAGTGGGTGGTAAAGCAATCTGCTAGACTGCAGGGGACAAAGGGATTTCTTCATCAGGGTGAGAGGAGTCTTTAGGCTGAGGGAACAGGGCAGTAGACAGATTTTTTTTTGAGTGAAGGATAATTTATTGGCTGCAGTTCTAGAGTAAAATAAAAAGATGATCAGAATACAGACAGAGTCTGGCAAATAAAAGAAGTAGGTTTTTGTTTGTTTGTTTGTTTTTCTATGACAGAAGAGAAACAAGAAAAAATGGATGGATCTACCAAAAAAGTGAAACCTAATGGAGAAAGCTATTTTCTGATCTATTTCTCTGGGAGGCCTCACTGGTCTTCTATAATAAGTTTTATATTTCCAAAGAGCCCTGTATTTTTCCTTCAAAACACTCATCACCCTTCCCACACTTGTTCAGCATCTGGTTTCACCACCAGATTTCAATCTACTCTTTTAAGAGGTCAGCCAGATGTCTGTTTTGTTCCCTGCGGAGCCTCCCGTACATAGAAGGAGCTGCATGCCTGGCGCAGAGCCAGGGCTCCAGAGATTTGATGTATTAATACTGGACAACATCACAGGTTTTCTCTATTTTTTCAGTGCTGCAAAATGCCTGACACACAATGAACACTTGGCACATACTCACTAAATGAACGATTCTTCTCAGTGCAATAGGAAGTGAGTTCATCTGTTCAGATGATAACTAAAACATTTAGTTTTACCTGTGTGCTGGGCACTACATTAAGTACGGATACGTTGGCTGCTATAGCAGATAAACCACAGAGTTACACTGGTTCACGTAATAAAAGTTTCTTATTCACTAAATCTACAAAATGCCTGCTCCTGATCGACAAACAGCTCTCCTCCTTTCAGAGACATAGTCTCCTTCCATCTTCTAGTCCTGCCATCTCCCAGGCTCCTGGCCCCAGAGGTACAGAGAGGTGAGGAAACCACTTCCTAAGGGCAACTATAGATTATGGAAATGGGAACATGAATTTCGGTGGACACTTAGCCACCTCTTCTACACATAAGTTCCTTACCACTTACGATAGCCCTATGAAGGAGGTACTGTTATCCCCATTTTACAGATAAGGTAACTGAGGCTTACACCTGTCCAAAAACAATAAGGTTTTGATTTGGGATTTAAACTTAGGTCTATCTGACTCCATAGCCTCTAGACTGGTGTTTCTCAAGTGGAGGCGATTCTGTCCCCAAGGGACAAGGGGACATTTGATAATTTTTGGGGGCCGGGATGGGAGTTACTACTGGCACCTCGTGGGTAGAGGCCAGGAATGCTACTAAACATCCTAGAATGCATAGGACACCCCAATGCTCAACATACACACAAAACAAAAAATTATCAGGCCCCAAATGTCAGCAGTGCCAAGGTGAGGTATTCTGCACTGGTCTGTACATTACTCACCGTGGTAGAAGGTAAGGTCGCTGCAAGACATGATTGAACAAGATTAGGAACAGCTGCTGTGAGGAATAAGGGAGCTGTTCGTTATGAAAGGTTGGAAAGGACTGGTGACAGCAGGGAGGTGCTGGTGGTTGTTTAATGTGGAGGAAGGCGAATGGTTCTATTATTTTTTCTGTTGGCTACTTGGCATTTCCGGATCGTGATAGTATTTTTGAAGAAATAAGTTGTCTGTACTTTATCTTTGAAACCATTTTGTTTCTGGACTCAGGGAGACAAGACTCGTCCTTTTATCACATCCAGTCCTACAAATGGGGACGAATCCATTGCAGAAGGCTGGCTCTCTTCCTACCCATATGACAATCATTTTGGTGATGTACATTTTTATGACTACCTCAGTGATTGCTGGGATTGGAAAATTTTCCCAAAAGCTCGATTTGCATCTGAATATGGATATCAGTCCTGGCCTTCCTTCACTACATTAGAAAAGGTAAGTCATCTTTGATTTCCCAGAGATTCAGAATGGTGGCCTTTGGGCATATGTCACTTCTTCAATAGTGGTTCAGAAAACCAAATGAAATCTACTTATTTTAAATTATTTTTTTGGAAGAAGATGAGAAGAAATAGCTTTATTTTCTTTAACTGTTGGGGAGCTGAGCTAAACTTTTGTAGTCATCATTTTGGGGATCATAACTTTTCTATATTGCTTTTAATTATGTTCCTTCAGGAGCATTTAAAAAATAAATGGGAATCTGTGGCTCCTTAAGCCTGATTTATTATTACACATGAAAATAACTGTCACTTGCTATTTTCTGTATACCCTACAACATCTTAAAAAATTATTTGCAGATATTCAGAATTGGATAGTTTACTACAGTAAGAGAAATGAATGTGATAAACAAGTCTTTGTCTAATGTTATCACGTCATATTATTCATTTCTTTTCTCTCCTCTTTCATTTCCTCTTCCTCCTTTCTCTTCATGTTGGTGTATTTGATTTTCAGTATGGCATTTCACTTTCTCCGTTCCTGATGATTCAGTTTCATAGGTGGATTCAGTTTTAGAGTTCTTTGCGTTCTTTTTAAAACAGCTTTAGTGAGATATAATTCACTGATCATATAGGGCACCCATTTAATGTATGCAGTTTAATAGTTTTCAGGATATTCTCAGAGTAGTGCAGCCATCAACATGATCTAATTTTAGAACATTTTCATCACCCCCAAAGAAACCTGTACCCATTAGCAGTCACTCTTCACTCTGTCATTCCCATCAGCTCTAGGCACCACTAATCTCCTTTGCATTTCTATGTATTTGCTTGTTCTGCATATTTTATATCATTGGAATAATAAAATGTGTGATCATTTGAGACTGACTTTTTTCACTCAGAATAAATTATTCAGGGTCCACCTATGTTGTATTATTTATTAGTATGTTGCTCTTTTTTATCGCTGAATAATATTCCATTGTGTGGATATACCACATTTTGTTTGTCCATTTATCATTTGATATATCTTTGTGTTATTCCTACTTTTTGGCTATTATGAATAATGCTGCTATGAACATTTGTATACCTGTTTTTATGTGAACATCTATTAAGTTATGCCTAGGAGTGGAATTGCTGGGTCATATGGTAACTCTGTGTTTAACATTCCAAGGGATTACCAAAGTGTTTTCCAAGTGGCTCCATCATTTTACATTTCCACTAACAATGTATGAGGGTTTCAGTTTCTTTACATTCTTGCTAATACTTGTTATTTTCCATTTCCTTTTTTTTTTTTTTGCATTTCCTTGGACATTTATATTTACAGGAAATTTGTATTTCTTTGGCTATCATGTTGATCATGTTTTCATGGGCTTGGTGTTCATTTATATATCTTCCTTGGAGAAATATATATTCAAATCTTTTGTCCATTTTTTTAATTGGGTTGTAAGATATACATATTCTGTATATATTCTTTATCAGATATATGATTTGTGGATATTTTGTTGCAGTTTGTGAGTTGTCTTTCTTCTTACTTGATGGTAACATTGAAAGCACAAACATTTTTTAATTTTGATGAAATCCTATTTATCAATCTTCTCTTTTATCTTTTGTGCTTTTGGTATTGTATCTAAGAAATTATTGCCTAACCTAGATCACAAAGGTTTACTCCAGTGTTGTTTTCGAGTTTCAGCTTTTAAATTTAGGTTTGTGATTTATTATTATTCTGTATGGTGTGAGGTAGGTGCCCAGGTTCCTTCTTTTGCATGTGAATAGCCAATTGACCCAACACTATTTATTGAAACATCATTCCTTCCCTCACTGAATTCTCTTCACCTATTTGTTGAGAATCAACTTACTACAAATGTTAAGATTTATTTTGGATTTTCAATTTTGTTCCATTGGTTTGTGTGTCTATTTTATGTCAGTATGCACTGTCATGATTACTGCAGCTTTGTAGTAAGTTTTGAAAGCAGAAAGTATGAGTCTACCAGCTTTGTTCTTTCCAGATTGTTTTGACTGTTCTGGGTGTTTTGCATGTCCATATGAATTTTAGGATCACTTTGCCAGTTTCTGTAAAAAAGCCAGCAGGAGTTTGATAGGGATTGTGTTGAATCTGTAGATCTGTTTGCAAAGTATTGCCCTCGTAACAATATTGTCTTCTGATTCCTGAACAGGTGATGTCTTCTTTAATTTTGTAGTTCTTAGTGTACTAGTCTTATACTTCTTTAGCTAAATTTATTCCTAAATATTTTATTCTTTTTTGGTGCTATTGTAAATGAAATTGTTTTCTTAATTTTATTTTCAGATTGTTCATTACTAGTGTTATAAAGATACAATTGATTTTTTTTTTTTGTAAATTGAACTTATGTTCTGCAACCTTGCAGAACTCATTTATTAGCCCTAATAGTTTTTTTTTTCCTAAAATTTTTTAGGGATTTCTGTATAAAAAAAAACATGTCATCTGCAGATAGAGGTTGTTGTATTTCTTCCTTTTCAATCTGGATGCCTTTTATTTACTTTTCTTGCCTAATTGCTCTGACTAGGACCTCCAGTACAATGTATAATAGAAGTGGTAAGATCAGACATCCTTGTCTCATTCCTTTCCTTAGGGAGAAAGCTTTCAGTCTTTTACTATTTAGTGTGATGTTAACTTTAGGTTTTTCATACATCCCCTTTGTCAGGCTGAGGCAGTTTCCTTTTATTCCTAGTTTGTTGAGTGTTTATATCAAAAAGGGTGTTGGATTTTGTCTAGCGCTTTTTGTTCATCTATTGAAATGATCATGTAGTTCTTGGCCCCCCTCTCCCATCACTTGTGTAAAGTAACCACAAAGTTTTAAGACAATTTCAAAATCTTTCTCAATTTCACCACCTGAACACAACTATACCTACTTCTACATATCAAAGTGATGTTGTATTTTTAGCTTTAATAATAATAAGTTTAGTGTTGCCCCTTAGTTGTTTTTTTTATTACTTTCATGTTGGGGGACTGATCTTTTGGGAATACTATTATTTCAAATGAAGGAGGGTGAGGTTCAGTATCTTAGGCAGGAACAAGTGTTGAGAATGGGAATGAAGGAATGAAAGAAGCAAAAATATTTACTGAGCAGATGCTCTGTACCAGGTACACATTATTTTATTTAATAGTAATCCCCCCTCTTCCACTTTGACTGAGGCCCAGGAGGAAACCAAGGCAGTGGAGACTTGAGAGTTCTCTTACTCTGTCCCTAGGTAGTGAGTAATATATCTGGATTCAAACTTACTATTAAACCCCAAAGCTGATCACTTTCTTTTTACTACATTTCAGAAAGGTGAGTTTTAGAAATTGTTAAACCTTTTTCTTAAATGTATAAGCATTTCTACTCACCTCCTGAAAAGAGTGGAATTGACATGTTTTTGTGATATGTCTGATGGTGTCCAGAGAAACTCAACACTATGTACATATTTATTTTTTTAAATATGCTTTTACCGTTTTTAGAGACAGAGGGAAAAGGCGGGGGGAGGGGGGGAGAGGGGGGAGAGAGAGAGAGAGAGAAAGAGAGAGAGAGAGAGAGAGAGAGAGAAACATCGATTGACTGTCTCCAGCATGCACTCTAAGCAGGGATTGAGCCCCCAACCCTGACTGGGAATTGAACTGATGACCTTTTGGTGCATGGACAATGTTTAACCAATTGAGCCACACTGGCCATGGAAACATTATATTTTAAAATAGGGAAAGATGAAGAGAAGTTCTGTTCATTATGAACCCTTTATTTAATCATTGCCTCTTTTCAGACAACATTGCTTAATTGAGAATTTGAATAGATAATTGTGAAGATAAAAGAAACCAAAAAAATAACTTTACATAATAATTTGGCTGTTTCATTTAGAGCTTTTCTGATGTATTCAACAAAAATGCCTCTCTCTAGTTTGGGATACATTACTTCTTTGTAAAATAATATTTTCAACAGGCAGTCATCAATATTGCACAGTGATTAAAAGCTGGGGCTTTGGAATAAACAGATCTAGATTTGAATCTTAGCACTGCCCCACACGGGCTATATTACCTTGGACAAATTATTTAATTGTTTGAGTTTCAGTGTTCTCATTGGTAAATTGAGGTTAATAGTAGTAAATAACCTCTTACGTGTGTGTGTGTATGTGCATATGATAGTGTGTATAGATTAAGTTAGTTAATACATTGAAGCCTTAGCACAATTCTTTTAAAAAAAATTTATGTTTATTGTTGAAAGTATTACAGATGCCCCCCTTTTTCCTCACTGACCCCCTCCACCC